AATCCTTTGAATAATTCGAACATTTGATTAATGTATTATGAAATTCGGATTTCTGGATTTTCCAGTGCCAGCACCAAGCTTAAGATTTTTTCTTGTCATATTGGGACAAATACGTTCGCAAAATCATTCTGTATATTCCATCGTAATTTGAATCCATCTCGTAAATGCGAATGTGCGCACCTGTTAATGCAATCAAATGTTAGTTAGTAAATGTACTAAATACTCAAACCAAATTTGCATACTTACCACAAACCAGGTTGGCAAATATGCGGTCCATTGGTGGTCCATTAGTATTTTGTTAATGACAATGGACCAGCCAATTTGCCAATCCCGCCACAAACCCATATCAATTCGTTCAGGGCACCCACTTGGAAGTCGGCGAGTTTTATGGAATCTTTTTTTTTCATCGATACAGATGATGAGTCCTTTGGTTTAACTTCTCCAAAGAGAATTTCATCTCCAGTATTAATCAAAATCTTGAAGTCAGGTTTGTTTGAGTAGGACCAACTATCGACAGTATATTCGTTGAAATAATCTGAGTAAAGATTTTTTGACATAGATAGATTCGCGAAATTACTTTCAGATCATAACAAAATAATACCCGACCGTGTGTATCCATCCAATCAAATTTTTGTATGACCTAGTTTTTCATTGGGTATTTTTGTTAACAAAATTATGTAGTAGTGATTTAATCTACTTTTTGAAGCATTCATTTCATTGTAAGGATAACATACAATTTCATTTTTATTTTTTTAGACAGTATCATTTTACAGCTCCTTTTTCATATCCTATTAAGAATTGACCACTCACGACTTCCTCATGATGGCATGATTCTTTTTTTTTAAATCAAATATTACACATGCGGACGATTTTCAAATTAGGAAAGTCCTATATATATATATATAATGGCAACGTATGAAAAAATTGAAAACGAATTAAATAAAGTAGGAAGAGAAAGGGAAGAGGATAGATGAGTTGTGGAAAGGAGGGAGGAAAAACGTGAAGAGAGAGCTTATTTAATTAAAGAAAAGAAAAGTTAGAAAAGGAAAGGGTGATTGGGGTGAACAAGTGCGAAAACTGCAATATGCGCTAGTTAATAAAGAAAAGGGTTATAAACAAACTGCGTAAAAAATATACAAAAAGTTATAAATTTCCATTCATTCCATTTCGTTTATTTGTTTATCTGTTTGAGGGAGCATTTAATACACTGTTTAGGAATTTAATTTACTTGCGTTTTTTTTCAATATTTCGTTTTCGATACTTTTTTGTTCATTTTTCTTCCCATCAGTTAATCGTAATTCATTTCGAGAATCAATCGTTTTCATTATCTGGTTAGACAAGATAAGCCATTTTATATTCTATTTGTCATTTTGATTAGCTTGTAAAATTTTAAGAGTTAATACTGTTTTTGATATGTTGTGTTATATTTTTTTAATAATACATTAGTACCAACAATTTACAACAACACAAAAATCATTGATGCTTTTCCTGAAGATATTTATTTAACAATTCTCACCATTACAGAAATGGAGATGATGCTTTTCAGTTTCTTCTTGTTTTCAAATATGGATCTGGTTGATATTACCATTTCAAACCAGGAGAGGTAACTAAAGACTTTGGTTTAATTTAAGGTAAACCTAACGAACAAATGGTATGTGCAGCTTCAATGTGAGAAGTGCAAATTTTTGGTGAGAATTGTTAAATAAATAAATAGGCCAATTTATCTTTTCTTCTTTGGTGCTGGCACTGGAAAATCCAGAAATCCGAATTTCATAATACATTAATCAAATGTTCGAATTATTCAAAGGATT